CCGCTTACACGCCCTACCGAACAGAGCGACTCCTGCCGTGTCGCAAACACTATACCCGAGCAAACCCGCGCCCTACACACGCCCTACACGGAACCTCAACTCGCCCTACACGCGCCCTACACGCGCCCTACCATCGCCCTAAGCTAGCTGCCACGCCATGGGCACTCCAGCAGGCATACGGACCTCACGCAACACATGCCGCTTCCCTGCGACCGCACTACCCTCCTCGGGATCATCACCAGCCCCAGGTTGCTGATGACGAGTACCCAACGTCTCGGCGACGGCCAGCCGCGACGACCAGTTTGATTTTCTCCGCCCGAAAATCACCCGAACGCGCAAAAGACAAACCTTGAATTATCAGGTTATTGCGCGCCAGCTGCGTAGCAGGGGCTACCCCCACCCATGCTGACCGCAAGAGATCCTTCATGTCATACACGACATCCAAGTTCATGGCCGCATAAGCCCTCTCCAACATCGTGAACGCTGAAGACACCTGCCCCCGCCACGTCTTGCCCGACACCGTCTGGGTGATATGGTGTAGAACCGAACGCCGCTCATTCATGCTAGTCTGCCTGAATGATGAGCGGAGAAACAACCAGTTCTCATACGCCGTGCGAAACACCATAGTTATGCGCTGGGCCACCTCCGGGCATACTGGCTCGAAGTATGTACGCAACTGCGTCCAATGCCGGGTCAGCCGCTTCGTACCAAACATGATGATATACATGACCACACTATCTTTGGACAGAACCTTAGCCGAACCATGCCATAGGTTCGGTGGCCGTGATTGCCCCGCCTTGGCCTTAAACTTGACCAGGTCACCTGCAGCAAAGTCCTACGCCACCTCGCGGACCGCATTGCCACGTCTCAATTGGGCCGCCTGCGCCGACTGCACACGCACATGCGCGTCATCATCGATGACTGCTGCAAGAGCGCCCTAACTTGCTCACCCAAAGCAAACTCACGGTCGCCGTCATACTGTCGGTTCGTCGCCATAGTGTAAGGCGTATGACCCCGGGTTGATGTAGCCACCGCGTTGTACGCGTTACGGAACTGGTACGCTAAGTCTAATGTGGAGGCCCGGCTTATTACACAGCCCCCACCCAGCTTTGAGACCCAAGAGAAGCAAGTTACTCACTCAAGCTGATTATGGGTCAAAAAGACGAAAAAGGAAAAACGGGTCGAAA